AGAGAGACTTAAGCTCCAACTCTGGAACATCAAATGCCCGCCCTCACGTAGGGCTAAAAAGGGCCACGGCCGGACTGGACGGTAGCGCAGTCACTAAATGGCCAGTTGGAGCAGAGGCTATCAGGCGATCCCAGAGTCTGTGCAGGTAGAGCTGGCACGTCGTCTCCTCAGAGGCAAATTCTCTGGCCTCCGGCAAGGATTCCTCTGTTGATGTAGACTTAGATTTTAAGGACTCCTTGGCATTGTCGGGTCCCCTACTGCGGCCTACACCTATCTGGGTAAGATGTAGCTTACTCAGGCAGAAAATCATTAATGTGCCTGAGAGTCAAAATGAGTAGGCCGAAAAAGGCGGGAAAGGAGAAAGAAGCAAACAGTTGAAGTGTGTGTGTGTGTGGGGGGGTAAGCCAAATAGCTGGCAAGCAAAAAAGAAAACAACTCACGGGGGATCATAGATTAGATAATTGAGAAGGGAAAGAATCCAATGTAGAGGGAATTGATCAATAAGCTAAGGGAAAAAACCCTGTGGAAATAGCTCTATGCTCTGTAGAACTTTACAGCACGGCGGAAAAAAGGAACTGAGGGGAATCTTGGGTGGGAGGAGCTTGTGCCTCATGGGGGATCACACCATAAAATTGTTACTTTTAGCTCTAGAATGCTCCGAGAATGTCAGCGCAGGCGCAGACTAAACCCATATGTGTGTATTCACAGAGGCCACGAAGAAGAACCTTGGTTTTCTTGTGGTTTTTACACCATGGCCAGGTGGTGGTATATATTTTTTCCAATGAGTCCCATCTGCTCCAGTGCAAGATTTACTCATGTGAACCCTAGCATTGCATTGTTCCATGCTGATCCACATTCTCTATGGATGTGTGTCATTTGATGACATTTCCTTATGAGTGTTTTTCTGCTGGCCACGCTCTATCCCTCCATGTCCTGTGGACAGGTAAAACAGGAAAGGAAGAGAAAATAGGGTGAAGTAAGCAGGGAGGGCAGAGATGATCAGCAAAAAGGAAGAGAAGACTATGTTGGGAGTGAGATGTAAAGGAGCAATTCTGAATGTACATGGACAGTACTAGGATGATCCAGTGTATCACAGTACATCCAACAACTACTACACTCCCCTAGTAATAACAACAACCAGAACAACCCCAGAACAACTGCAGACAACACCACTGTGTGGATGAGCCCAAAGACAGAATTGGACAAAATGGTCTGGAGGGGAGGAGAGAAGGCCAAACTCAGAAATAAATGGGACCCAAGGAGAAACAGCAACTTGAGCATAGACATCACTGTTTCAGCAATGTATACATGCTAAAAATTCTAGCTCATTCTAGGACTACTCTATTTGCAACTTTGTCCTGCCAGGTGATCCAAAAATGCATCAAAGACAATGCATATGGAACGGAAGGACACTTTTATTTCTGCTAAAGTTGGTTCACTGTCCATCTCTCCTAACAGGCAGCCACTTGATGTTATTTAATGCCTCTTTGGTTACTACATTCTCTCTGGAATATAGCTCAGAGTACAGTGGAGTCTCTACTTAAGAACGTCCCTACTTAAGAACAATCCAACTTAAGAACAGCTCCTTTTGCTAAATTTTGCTTCTACTTGAGAACAGAAATCCAAGATAAGAACAGGAAAAAAACACCTTTCCTGCTCTTTTTTTAACCTTAGGTCATCTTAGGTTAAAAAAAATTCTCCCCCTAGTGGTAGAGTACGTATTAACCAGCTTTGCATTAGTTCCTATAGGAACTAATGCTTCAATGTACGAACGCACCTCTACATAACAAAAAAACAGCCAGAACGGATTAATTGGTTTTCAGTCCATTCCTATGGGAAATTTTGCTTCAACTTAAGAACATTTCAACTTAAGAACACCATTCCAAAACCGATTAAGTTCTTAAGTAGAGGTTCCACTGTAGTTTCTATGGACGGAAAAGAGCAGATACGGATTAAATGGTTTTCAAAGCATTCCTATGGGAAATGCAGATTCAACATAAGAACTTTTCAACTTGAGAACCACCTTCCAATATGGATTAAGTTCTTAAGTAGAGACCCCACTGTACTGTTGCACCTAGCATTCCATCTGTTGTGCTTTTCCTGGATGAAAGTGTGGGAGACACCGCATATGGAACGTGTTCAACTTCCTCTCCTGCCGTGCACAAAGGGTCCAGGACTCACTGCAGTACAGGAGTGTACTCAGGACACAGGTTCTATAGACCCAGATCTTGGTATATTAAGCCATAGTCTCTTTGTGAGTCTAGAGAACATGGTAGCTGCTTTGCTTTGCCAATGCTCAACATCTAGAGACAGAGTGTCAGAGATCGCTGAGCCAAGGTACACGAAACCATGAAGAACGTCAAATTCTTGTGTAGAGATGGTAATAGAGGGAGGTGAGTCCACACCCTGGCCCATGGCTTGTGTTTTCTTCAGGCTGATTGTTAATCCAAAATCTTGGCAGACCTTACTAAAATGATTCATAAATTGTTGGAAAGTAAAGAAGTAACAAAGCATTAGGACACCATATTTGGCATTATTACATTTGTATTTTAAATGGAAGATTATTCAAGGAAAACAGAACTGCACTAGAAAATGTCTACAGATCACCTTCCCAAGCCAACTCAAATTAACATTTGAATATAATTACCTGGGAGGCTGTACTTCTATGCTTCCAACACCAGGCTTGAATAACACAAAATTACTTGTTTGTTGCATTTATATTCAGCCTTCCCTATATAAGCTTCCACCCTCCTCCCCACTACTCTTTTAATGTAACGTCTAGACCAAGGTCATCCAGTGAATTGTACAGTTAAATGGAAATTTGAACTCAGGTCTATTATTTTACTTTAGGCATATACAGTAATAAGAAGATACAACTCATTGAATAGGACTATGATGCTGTGAAGAGTTGAAGGCAGCAGGAAAATATAAAACCCAAGCATAAGATAGACTGCTATAGTTAAGATGGAAGCTTTGGTTTTTAGTTTTCAAGATCTGAGGAGGGTTGTTAATGACAAGACCTTCTGAAGGTCATAAATTGAGAGGGTCCCCTTAAGTCAATGGCATTAATAAAATCACGACTATATCTTTTTCACATGCCACTTATACGAGAACAACAGACTGCATAGCAGCAGATAAATTTAAAATACAGTAATGGTAGTCTAGTCCACTGGTTCTTAACCTCGGGTTTTTCAGGAGTTTTGGACTGCAACTCCCAGAAGCCTTCACCACCAGCTGTGCTGACTGGGTTTTCTGGGAGTTGCAGTTCAAAAGCATCTGAGTAACAAAGGTTAAGAACCACTGGTCTAGTCCATCATAGCTGTTAATGGTAGCAACCAGCTACTAGCCCAGTGGTAGCTGCAAAAATAATTACGGTCCCCAGAGTCTTATGCGTGTCTGTGTTCATGTAAAATGGGTGACCAAGTCAAAGGGAATTATCACTGTATTTGTTTCCTCTTTATTCTCACCTTTATATATTCAAACCTACGGGTATCTCTTGCAGTGGAACTCCTCATAAAAGATTTCTCATTTATAGTAGATTCCCTATTCACCCACTTAGTTACCTCTTTTCTTCCTTCCTCAGGAAAGTTATTTTCAGCTTCACCTTGCCTCCAATTTCAGAAGCTAAGTTTTGCATCTGTAAGAACAAAAATGCAATGCCTGACATCCCTAGTTAAAATATTTCTTGCAACACATGCAGGAAGGAGCTCTGCCTGAGACAGCAAAAAGCTTCTGCAAATCAGAACAAACATTAATGGAACAAATAGACCAATGGTCCACCACACAGCAGGCTCATGTTCCTCAAAACCTGTTCAAGAATTCCTAATTTTCTTCTTCAATTTCATGTTGTCCATTAGATGCAGATCCTGACTGAGCAAAGACAATGCTAGGATCAATCTTCTAGCACTTATGAGTACGAAGCATGAGTCCCTGCTGTTTAATCAACATGCGCATATCCTGCAATATTTCAAGACTATCCAAACCAACACAAAAGTAACTCAAAACGTGCAGGTTCAACAACACGTGCAAATATGTTTGTCTATTTGTTTTCCATGTTTCTGCTACAAACCACTGCAGAGGCAAGGAGCCATTTAAAGTATCACAGGGCTTCCCTTTACCATAAAAATCCCGTTTAGTTATTTTTTGATTTCTAAGATTTCATTAATGCCCACCATTCTTCACAGGATTTGGCTTAGGATCCGATCAGAGAAGTGCAGAACACATGCTGTCCTGACCATGGAGAACCATAAGCAGGAGAGGCCATGTGTACCAGGTCAAAGCTGCATTACTTCCAGTAAGCAGAACAAGTTCAGTAAAAAAAATACTCTGTAACCACAATGCCCGTCAAATGCATACTCACTCCTCAAGCCTTCAAATAGATACCATTAGAGGAGAGACATATGATGATAAATTTCAGATGCAGAAACAGTTGACTCATGTAGCATGAATCAGTCATATAATAATAATGCACTTTTCCACAGAGCTTGGGAACAATGAGTTACAAGTTAGAGAGTTAGCTTTCATTAGCTACTTTTTGGAGAAACAAGAGTGTACTGATGTTACACTTCAAACATATAATAAAAGGATTAATTTAAGTGGCATTCTGAAAGGGATTTTTCATATTTTATACTGATCTCCTACTAACCATAAAGTAAAAATGGGAATGGGTCCGATAGCACCTAAAGACCGTGTTCTCTGCTTGCAATGGACTAACACAGCTATTTTCTCAGAGATTTCTGTAATCCTATGTTTTCTTAAGTTACAAAAAATAATAAGTAGTAAATCGAATACAAGTGGTGCCTCGCTATACGATGATAATCCATTCCACTGAAATCGCTGTTTAGCGAAATCATTGTCTAGCGAAAAGCATTTCCCCATTGGAATGCATTGAAACCTGTTTAATGCGTTCCAATGGGGAAGAATCGTTGTTGTCTAGCGAAGATCGGCCATAGGAAAGCCGCTTTGCGAACCGCCAATCATCTGTTTAAATTGCTGTCTTGCGAGGCTTAGGTCCCGAAACCACCTGTTTTGCGAGCGTGGAGGAAGCTGTCAAAATGGTCGTCTAGTGAAAATTGGTTTGCGAAGCAGGGACCAAACATTGTCCAGTGAAATTCCCCCATAGGAATCACTGTTTTGCGAATTGCTATAGCGGTCGCAAAAAGTCAATGTCTAGCGAAAAAACTGTCATGCGGGGTAACTGTCTAGCTAGGCACCACTGTAATATGAAGTTTTCTTTTCAACCCTGAAATCATAGAATCATAGAAAAGTTAAGTTGGGCCTACAAGGCCATCAAGTCCAACGCCCTGCTCAGTGCAGGAATACAATCAAAGCATATCTTCCAGGTGATTATCTAAGTTTTTCACCAACTCCCAATGAGTAACTCACCAATGAGTACCAATGATGGGTTACCTTAAATATAAAGAATAATAGGAAGAAGACACTTTCAAAATGTAGCTTTCTAATCTCTAACACAACTAAATTCACTCCATTGAAATACAATGACAGCATTGAGATACTGGAACATGCAGTATTATCTCGGTGTATGCAGCCAATTTCAATGCTTCTACTTAAGAATACTATAACACACAATGGCATATACATTGAACAAGAGCACATGATCACAATGGATAAATCATTAAAAACACAAAGATAGCTTTTAACAACCATACAATTACAATTTTCAGATTCTGGGGCACAATACACACATGCACAAATATCTGAAATAACATACCTAATAGTACTTAAAATATAAAAGGACATAAGAGTAGGTTTTAACCTCAGAAACATATGAAGCGAACAAGATTGTTTCACATTTGTAAACATAACTGCTGAAGCATGCGTCATCATAGGAAGGTCACACAAGGCACAGGAGGTTAGCCATCTTGTACCTGCAACACTTCTGATAGCCTATCATCCAGACGCAAAAAGGAGCAATCAATGAGAAGACTGGGAAGCTTCAAGGAATATCACTCAGAAGGGCTCATAAAATCCATCTGAATTTAGCTTGTTAAGGAAGGGCACAGAGGAATATATAACCCACATGAATTCACTTTGTTGCAAAACTAACCTCAGAAGCAATGTCTAGCTGCTGACACAACCATGATGGTATAACTATTGTCTTTACACACTCCTAAAAAGAAACTCAGAGTTGATTATTTGGCAAACAGTTTCTTTCTGGACCTCATCTACAGTGATATTTCCTACATTAACACATGTGACTCCTCTGCTAACTTCTTTAATTCTATCTTTCCCCTCTTGAAGTTCAACTTCATTAAAAAAAAAACTCACCCACCCTTCTCTCTTTTCTCCCTCCCCCTATCTCTGCTCAGACCTGGTATCTCTTTTCTGTCTTCAAGAATGTTTACAACAGGACCCTAAAACAAACATAGGCCTAATTACTGCATGTAACCAATGAACATTTAGAATGTGAGACTGATATTGCATCTACATTTCATTCTATTTCTTTATGTCTGACGAAGTGGACATGTTCATGAAAACTTACGTTAAAATATAATAAAGTCTTTAAGGTGCCACGTATTTTGTCTTTGTTTTGTTTCTTTGGATTTTGCCTAATATGCTTGCACAGACTAACATGCCTACCTCTTCTAAAACTACAACTGATATTGTTGTTTGTTTGTCAGTCAGCAGGATAATAAATCATTTAATGTCCTATAAAGTTTCAATTGAAACATTACATAGGGCACATGACCCCCCTTAATAACAGATTCATAAACTGTGATAACGCATGAACCAAGCTGTTACGTTTCCATCATACCCTGTAAGTGCATAGAATCCTGGAACAGCACACAATGCTCCAGACATTAGGATCTTTAACTGAGTAGCAAAGTAGCAGAAATACAAATTACATACCAAACCAATGTCAGTGTGTATAAGTTCTTTACACGTACTAACATATAAATATCTGTTTCTTCGTGATTGCATGGAGAAAGTGAGTGAAGATCATGTTGGTGAGAACATTATATACTGTACCTGTTCCCTTTCCATAACAATTTCCATATATGCCTCAGCAAATAAATGGACGAGTTTTTTTTTCAGAGGAAGACACGTACATCACATTTTGAGTCCCTTTGTGTTATCCCATGTTAAGCTATCTGTGCACACAAGTGTATGCCCAATGGAACACTCCTCCACATCTGAAAATGATCACTTTGTATTACTTAAAAATTATGTACAGTATTTGTGGTCTCACTCCAGAGAAGTATACAATTGTTATTAAAAAAAACAGAACAAAACAGGGCTATGCTATAGTAGTAATAACCCTGGATGGTTTAAAGCATATGTGCAGAACTCTATAATCAGGAAAATAAAACTTTCCTATCATCACGAGACAATTGTCATAACCTTCCATATGATGTAGCACCTCAAATTCACAAAATGTCAACAAAAAAGGAAAAAGAAGGTGGCAAAACTAAACCAAACATCTAGAAGTTGTTTGTTGTGGGGTTTTTTGCGCTGTTTGGCCATGTTCTGGCTGTGTTCCAGAACACGGCCAAACAGCCAGAAAAACCCACAACAACCACTGGATCCCTACTGTGAAAGCCTTCAAGAATAGTATATCTAGAAGTTCTTCGCTAGATATTTTGTTTCCAAAGGTCAGAGGACAGTGGCCACATAACTGTCCCCATAATTTTAAACAGCTCAAGGAGCAGTACCTAGATGAAAGGTGAAGGAACCCACAGATTGTGGTGGTGGGGGGAAAGTTGCAGTTTTCACAAGTATAACTTTTAAAAAGAAAAACTCCTAAAAAGTATTAAATCCTTAAAACAGCCATATCAAATAAAGGCACAGGCTGTTGAGCAATCCTGGCATTATGCCAGTGTGAGATAGTTTTAACCTAAATACATGAGACAGTGGCCACACACCAGCCGCAGTCGCAACATCCTGTCATGTGCAAGGCCTTTCTTTTCACTTCCCAACTTTACAAGTTGAATGAGGAGGACTCCGTTGGGTTTCTACACACTTTCTCCTGAACAGAACAGCAGTCCTTCCTGTACTATTATTCTAATCTACACTCTACAGACACTCTCCCCAAAAGAGGTGTTTGTATTTTTAATTCTGCAGGTCTCAGTATTACTGAGGGGAAAGGGGTTTAATTTAAAAAAACAGCATGAGAGAAGTTGCTTTTAATCGCATCCTCAAAGCTGGGGTTTCATCCTGCCTCTCCATATAGTGAAACTGACACAATATTAAATCACTCTGAAGTCTCACGTTTGTCTTAATGCCTCAGATACCAACTCACTTCTAAGATAATGATGCCAGTCTATAATACCATTTACACCTAGAGCAGTTTGTTACAGGCGCCTTACTTCAAATACTTTTTATTTTAAAAATAGCTATATAATTTCACATGCACAATAATTTTTGTTTTTCACTTGATGGCCAAAAAGCTCTCCTCTTTGCTCCAGCCTTATGAAAATTATGCCTAACAGATGCAGAGAACACATCAAGAACGAAAGAAGGGTCCTCTTGGATCAGATCAAAGGCTCATCTAGTTCATCATTCTATTCATAAAATCTTTCCAAACTATGAGCCTACATTATCAGGGGGAGCGCAAGACCTTCCAGAACAGGTCAGATTCCAAAACATGAGCCTGATTTTTCACTGATTAGCAGTTCCTCTATCTTGTCAGAATTTAATGTCAATTACACGGTCCTATGCCAGCCCTCCTCTATCTTGTCAGAATTTAACTTCACTTTCATCGCCCTCAGCCACCCCATGATTAAATTCAGACAAGATTTAAGAGTCCTGACTCCTCAGTGTCTGGTGACAAGGAGCAACAGAACTGGGTAACATCAGCATGTTGATGATACCTCAATCCAAAGCTTGAAATGACTTCTTCTGCTGGCTTCATGTAGATATTAAAGATATCCTGTTTCCCCAAAAATAAGACATGACCTGAAAATAAGCCCTAGTCTGATTTTTCAGGATGCTCATAATATAAGTCCTACCCCAAAAAAGCCCTAGTTAAGTGAAACCCTGCCCTCCACCATTGAGCAGTATTGTGCAGCAACCAGAAGATAACATGAGTGTATTTGAATAGATGTAGATTGTTGTACATGGAAAAAAATAAAACATCCCCTGAAAATAAGCCCTACTGTGTTTTTTGGAGCAAAAATTAATATGACCCTGTCTTATTTTCGGGGAAACATGGTATAGAGAACAGAGCAAAGCCCTGAGAGCAATGCCCCACTCTTCAAAGTCTTTGGTATCAAATCCAGCACCTCCTTTTGAGTATGTCTTGAGAGACAGAATCGGAATTACTGCAATACTGTGTCCCTCACATCCAAACCCAAGCAGTTCATGGTATCAAAAGGCCAAAAATCTAGCAGGACTTTGCAAGGTTGGACTCCCGTACCAAGGCAGTCGAAACACACTAGACAGAAGTGGAACAGGAAAGAAAAATGGAAGGGTGAAGTGTTTTTCCAGTCCATAATAACAAGTGGTTCTAAATGTAACCCCATAATAATCAGAGTTGGTTTTCCTTCTAAAAATAAAAAGATATAGTCGTGTTTCTATGTGAGCTATGGGATAAGAGCTAAGGATAGGAAACATACAAGTATATATGTGTGTGTGTCTGTCTATCTCTCGTTATTAACCTTTAAGGTGTGAAATTACATATAAGGCACAGCCTCACAGCAACAAAGCAACAAAGCAGAGCTTCACAGACACAAATGTAACATAAACCTTTTAGAAAAAGTGTGATTTTCCTCTCTAAGAGGATCAAAATAAATCTAAAGAGATCTGTTATCATGTTGAAACAACACAATTATCACATTAGCGAGAAAAAGAACCACTACAAAATACTGTATCAACTTTATCTGCCACACATTTGACTGAGTCACACATACAGTAATTGTGAAGAGTTTATGATGTGAAAGATCCCAAGCTAATTTTATACAAACTTGCTGGAAATATCTTGTTTTTAATAACTGTAAAAAGAGAGCTATATGTGTGTTATCACTAATTTCATGTTTCACATCTACATCATTCGGCCCTTTAGATGGTTCTGCCTGGTTACATAAAACAATCAGAAGTCTACTGATTGCTACTGTGTGCTTTGTATGTTATTTTGAGTGAATATTGGACAATTCTTTTTATATCTCTTTGTCACAGTTGTTTAAAAGCATGTACTAAAACATAGATTTTCTATTTTAAAAAAATCATACCCAATTAAAAAGAAACACCATTATCAGCACGAGTAACCTATCAAGCATCTATTTCTCCATACAAAGCCAAATGACAAAACACTGCACCCATTAAGGATAGATAGACCTTTTCTCCATTGCAACACAGCTAGTCAGTAATTACTGGTGGAATTATCACAACCACAGAATGCTTCAAAGTCAACCACAGTTGTCAGTATTGCAGAATTTTAGCAGAGTTAAGCAGTAGGTAAGCCTTTTCCACACTCCATCTACCACCACCTGGTTTTCTGTATTAATTATTTTTATTTTTATTTTTACTTGACTTTTATATCACCCATTTGGCTGCCACGGCCACTCTGGGCACTTTACAACTAAAAACCACATAAACAATAATAGGAGACAGTAAACACAATAACAATCAAAATTAAACATCAACTAAACTTAAGCCAGCAACATAAGTAAAAACTAGAAAATAATTAGGATAGTTTAAAGGTAAGATGGTGGAACAGGTAGTATTTAGTTTTAGGCAGTATTTTAGTATGTCTAGTTTTTAGACAATAGATTTAAAAATTAATTAAAGTTAAATATTGGAAGTCAGGAAAATTAACTTGTTGACATTAACATTTCAAACTTTTAACTCATTAAATTAGTATTAAAAATAAGAACAATGTGCTATCGAGTCCATTCCAAGGTTCTACAGGCTGGCTCTTCTAACAGAAGGCAGAGTGAGGAATTAAACTCCCAACCTCTGGCTCTGCAACCAGATACCTACCTCACTGAGCTAGCAATTTGACATGTTATTTTAAAATGTTAATTTCTGAACTTTCTTGAAACGGCACAGGTCCACTTTCCTAAAGAAGAAAAGATCTATTACCCTCTGTAAAAACTAGATTTGTAGTTTACATTACCCATTTTTGGGATTAGAACTGCAGACGTACTACAACACTTAGAAATTTTAGTTAACACAGCTAAGAATCTAGTGTTTGTCCAAGTTATTGCCTAAGACTATAAGGAGCCCCAACATTAGGAACCACTCTCTACAAACAGAAAATTGGACACTCCTACTACTCTTCTTTAGTGCATCGCTAAAAAAAAAACACCCTTTGACTAAAATTACAGGTCTCAGAGAGCTGGCCCATCAGATCCCAGGAATCTACTGATGTTATAGCAGCCTCATCCCTATGGCTCCCAAGAAAGGTCAAAATAACTGACCCAAAATTGGGGGCAAGGGGAGTCTGCAGTCTTCCATGGATAATCTTTGATTATTTGAAGCAAAATCACAACCCAACAATCTCTATGCAAAATGAAGCTGCGATTATTTTCACAGCACCACTCCAATAATGTCTGCATATTGCAAAATAAGGCCCAACTAAAGGCGTAGATTAACTACTGGCCCATCCTATGAGTGCCTGCAAATTTGTCTGTGTCAAAGAAATGCAAAAATGATTAATGATCACAAAAAATAAAAATAAATACGAAAATGAAAAACAACTACACGTCTGTTGGCATATAAAGAGACTCTTTTTCATTTGCAGCTACCTATAAAATGGTTAGAAAGAACATGACTCAAAATGTACTTGCTTGGCTATTTGTGTTTGTCAGTTCAACAATATAGTCCCAGCAATAATAATATGGCCTGTATCACGCTGGCATTGGTCCCCTCCTCCAGTTGCCCCAATATTCTCTCTGCCCCAATATTCCTGATTCTTGACTACTCCCTGCCTTGTTGCTCTGCTTTCAGCAATACTAATGCCTAGGCAACTACATCCTCTGCCTTCCAGGGTTTTTTCTCACTCAGATGTCCAGCACCACTTTAGAGCTCTGTTGCTATGCTCTGAGTCCAAGAGGAATGGAGCCACTAAAACTTCAGTAGCTATCTGGGCTCAGATATGCAGGTTATACTGAAGCCTACCTTCTCAGTGAGTTTTGTATAATGTTATGTTAAAAGGTATGCAGGTATACAACAATGGTTCTCTAACTTGGGGCTCCTAATGATCTTTAGACTATAAGTCCCAGAAGCCTTCAGAAATACCATAGACTCTTGGCTGTGTTAACTAAGCTTTCTGCATATTGTAGGTCAAGTGCATTTACAGGACAAAGCTTGGGCTATCCAGCATAAATCTAGTTTTCAAAGAGAACTGCAGACCTTCATCCTTTGTGGAGGAACAATATGGACTGATATAGGCTCCTTTACAAAAGGGTATATATGCTAATGTTTTTAATGAGTAAAATTCCCATTAATGTTATTTTTAAATTGTTGTTTTTAAATATCACTGGTACATTAGATTTTGAGAACTTTTTTTCCTGGCACAGAGTCCAAAACAAAGTTCAAATTTAACATTAAAATGTCAATTTTCAAGTGATTTTTACAAGCTCTTGGAAAAAGAAAACAATGCAAGTAGAAAAAGAGGAAAAGATGCAAGCATAGGGGAGGTCTGGGAAATATTGGCAGAAAGAGAATGGAGAAGTAAGGGAGCTTCGGAATTAAGACAATGGGCAAAGAAACCAAACAGGGAAAAGGTCAAGGCAAACATTGGTGGAAAAACAGGGTGAAAACATAACTGATTGCTCTCACTAAACATAATGTTGGCTATACCCACCTGATCTGTTATACGTAATTGTTTTGAAAGCCATCAAGAGGTGTACAGACAAGAATAATTTTATGGGTAATGTTTTCAAATGCATAAGACCAATGTCTTTACACAAGGCTAGGTTACCTTAAACCGCCATCTTCTCGGTTTTATCTATATATTTTATCAGAATTGAGATAAGTCACTAAGCATAGACACTGTATAACAATATTCTTAAGCAGACTTTCAACTAGTGCCTCATCCTTACTCACAGACCCTACCAGGGAAAACGCCAACCTTATTGGCACTTTTGCTTAAAGCATAAAACAGAAGCAAATCAGAGGGAGGATAAAAGCAAAGACAGAAACAGAAGCAGCAGATGAGCAAAGTTTGGTTTTCTACAACACTTACTTCCACTTGTTCTGTGCCTTGTCTGGAGATACTGAACACCACTGCAAAAGATGGAAATGGGGAAAAATTAATACAACACAAAACATTTGGTTTCTAGCAGGTGCACTCCAAATAAAGTAAGCTCTGAGTGTATTAAGCGCGATGTGGTTCTTTGGTTCTTTTTTTTCCCAAAGCAATATGTCATTTTCCACTCAGACCCTTGAAGACAAGAGCTAGATGAAATTTCGCTTTGTTAACATCACACTGAGAAACCAACTCAAATTCTATTACAGAAAAAGCCACAGTTGAGGCAACCTCAATTAGCTTTTTCACAAGGTACAATATATACCCAGACTAGACCTAACAAAGGGTGCAAATATCATTCATTTAAAATAAGAGGGGGTGGGGGTGGCAGCAATTGTGTCTATATGATGTCAACACTGTGCACTGCTTTCAGTTCAGCAGTATATAATTAACATAATAACATCAGCCATAAAATTCAATCTGACTTTATCAATTTTAACCTAGAATTGTGTAATAATCAGATGAGAAAGGAACATTAAGAGTTGTTCACACCATCCATCATTACCTTCTATCCCCTGCTATCTAATTTGAACAGTCTACATAAATCCTGATCACAAACCACTATTATGGAAAGGGAAACTATGGAGTAAACAGGAACAGGTAACCTGTTACATAAGCAGTGAAAATGTCTCACCCTAAAATTTTAAATCTGTGGCACCCCTGGCTTAGTCCATTAAGTAGCTCCATAGTTATTTCTAATACTAACATTTCCATTATTTACAGGAGGGAACAAAATCATTGTGAATAAAGAACTAATTGTGATTATATTATGAGGAGCCCATAACAAAATTGCTCATCTGCAGGACGATCAGGACATGTCCTTGAAAAGATTTCAAAATAGAATATGGAGATTGGCTCTGATGGAAAGACTTATCTATTGCATTAAACTCTATAGAGATGAAATAAAACAAGATAAATTCATGGAAGTATGATATCTCTTGTTGGCCTCTGGTGCAGGAGATCAAATGGAAAATGGGTTGAAATGCTGGTTAGTTTGAATAACTGTAGGGTTATAAGTAAAACATATATAAATGTTTAAATATCATTAGTATACTATAGATATGAAAATTATTGGAAGTGTAACTGTATTTGTAGGTAATTACTACTTTTTTCCTTTTTTGTTATGTGATCAGAGGATTGTAACTTATAATAATAATAATTTAAAAAGAAAAAAAATCTAATGCTAACAAAACAAGCATATGGCGTCAACAGCAACCACATACTCAAGACTGCTTGCTTCCAATTCCTCTTATATCTCTTCACTTTATTTGCTCTTTAGGAATGAAAACTTAAAATGTATTCAAGATAGGATACATGGTAATGAAAGAAACTACACGTTTACCATGTAACAGCAGCCAAGTATTTTCACAGATACTTAAAATAGCACATTGTTCTACTGGCCTTTTTCTTCACTACGAGACAACACCATAATTCTACAAAATACATAATAAAATAGAGAAATAAATCACTTCATGATCCCATTGTCCTAAGGAAATGAATATGGAGTTCTCTGCACCTGAAAATACAGTAATACAACTTCTGCTCATAAAAAGGGTAGATCTCCACAAGTGAACCATGTGGTGAAGGGGTCAAATGCTGGACTGGGTTTGGATTGAAGTCTATCCTGACTGAACCATAAAACTCATTAGGTGACTGTGGGCTAATCATTCTCTCTGAGATCTACCTCACAGGTCTGTTGTAAGGAAAACGTGGTAAGGAGAATATTGCCTATTTTTAATTGGTTACATTTATATCCTCCTAGAGCAGTGGTCCTCAACCTTGGGCCTCCAGATGTTCTTGGACTACAACTCCCAGAAGCCTTCACCACCACCTCTGCTGGCCAGGATTTCTGGGAGTTGAAGTCCAAGAACATCTGGAGGCCCAAAGTTGGGGACCACTGTCCTAGAGGACAGGTGGGATATAAATGTAACCAATTTAAAAAATAACGACAATAATAACAATTAATCATAAAAAGGACTCTCCAAATGAAACTGACAGCAAAAAATCATTATCAGTTGCACTGCATAAGGAACTACCAACCATAACAGAACTGCTCATTTATTGGCAAGTAGAATCAACATACATGGCCAGCTAGTAGAAAAAGTCACCTTATTAAGAGTGGCTGCCCCACACATGCCCTAGTGGGAAATATGCCATATGAATTGCCACTATAGTGCAGTGGATAACCCACTGAAACCTCATGTTCATACACATGCAAAACATTCTCTAAATTGGCAAGCACGTTGGATGATCCCCATCCTGCAAAGCACATGGGAGTGTGACACATCTACTCTGTTTCCCCAAAAATAAGACAGAGTCTTATATTAATTTTTGCTCCAAAAACACATTAGGGCTTATTTTCAGGGGATGTTTTATGTTTTTTTCATGGACAACAATCTAAATTTATTCAAATACAGGCATTTAATCTTCTTCTGGTTGCTGCACAGTGGTGGAGGGCAGGGTTTCACTTAACTGGGGCTTATTTTGGGGGGTAGGGCTTATAAAGAGCATCCTGAAAAATCATACTAGGGCTTACAGTATTTTCAGGTTAGGTCTTATTTTAGGGGAAACAGGGTATGTGCTCTCTATTTAAGGCAAAATTTAAGTGGACTGCGATTATAGGCTGAGTTATAAGTGCCCAAGTATATGAGACAAAAGGTAGATACAAGACACATACAGGATTTACTCTCTTTTTTTGCAAAAACAATGAGAAGCATTGAGAATATGTATCCTATACAGGTATTTGTGTTGCTCTACCATGTATTTTAGTAGATTGTTAACACTTTATTTATCTTTATCTCTGTACCCAAACTATGTATATTTATATCCATGTGTAGGCTTAGTTACATTTGTACCCCACCCTTACTCAAAGGAACTCAACAGCAGTATATATAAGTAAATACCAACAGAGATCTTCTTTTATCATTGTAGGAGTCGTGACAGATAAGTTAGCTCAGTGTATCTGGCTGTGGAGCCAGAGGTTGGGGTTAGGGTTTCTTAACAGAAGCTGGACTTGGATGATTCACAGGGTCCTTTCCTATTTATTTATATGATGATGATGATGATGATGATGAAATGCACCTACACTTTTATGCATCACACTCCAGTAAGAAAATCAGACATTGCATCAGTAGTTTAGAGCAGGAGAGACTGAGAGAACAGGGAACCTAAAACTCAGCTCATTGTTGCCCACTCCCCAAACGGCTGATAAGTATTACTACTAATTTGCTAACTGAAGTCACACACTGTTGTATCAGGACAGGGTTTATACATTAGATTCACTGTGTGACCTGGTCTCACTCTCTCAGCCTGACCTTCCTCACATCCCCTGACTGGAGCAAAGTGCTTCCCAACCTTGAGTCCCTAAGTGTTCCTGGACTACAACTCTCAGAAGCCTTCACCGCTAGACGTGCTGGCCAGGATTTCTGGGAGTTGTAGTCCAAAACCATCTGGGGACTCAAGGTTGGAAACCACTGAACTAGGCTATTGCCTCCCCAAAAGCTTCATAGCTATGTATGGACTTGAACTGAACTTCCACATCTGAGCTCAATTCTCTAGCCACAGCACCACACTGCCTTTCAGGGCAAGAAGATGCCTTTTGGGAAGCTATACCCAAGAAGCGCATGAACACTGATCACACAAAAAGGTCAAGCTGTATTCTGCAGAAAAAACTTTCAGGCTCATCATGCAACCTGATCTAGGGGTGTAGGAGTAGTTGACCATTCCTAAAGATGCAAAATTTCCAAAAAAAATCCATTTTTTCCGGGGGGGGAGAGGGGAAAATTTTTCCTAGAAAAAAAAATGAAAAAGTCCAGAAATGTTACATCTCAACCCACTGCTGAATCAGAATCTAAAGGCCATACCTAGAACACCAGCAAAACCAAACCAAAGGTCCAGGTCATTTTCTCCTGGCTTGGGCCTACCTCAGGGGTTGTTGTGCTACTAAATAGGGATGGTAGAACACTATACTGAAGAAAGCACAGAAAATGCATTACTGTATAATTACTGTATAATGAAGCCAAACCTATGCAACAGAATTATTCCACAAAATTAAGTACTGTGAGCTTCACCTTGCTAATCTAGGACCTAAGTCTATAATGTGTAGTAAGTTGGGCTTCCTCTAAAGACTGGAAAGTGCAGTTGATTCAGGACATGGCAGTGGGCAGCTCTGTCCAACTGTTTTAAACACATAATGTTACCGTATTTTTCCGTGTATAAGATGACCCAATGTATAAGATGACCCCACTTTTCCAACCCAAAATAAGAAAATTTGATCGCTGCTTTCTCCCTCTACTTCCTAAGCCCCGCGAAAGCAGAATCAAAGAGTTGCGGAAGTGGAGGGGGGAAAGCAGTGATGAAAGGGCTGCAGGATCAAAGGGCTGCAATCCTGCAGCCTTTTCATCACTGCTTAATCCTCCACTTCGTAGGGCCATGAGGCTTATGAAGTGGAGGGGAAAGCAGCCATAAAAGGGCAGCAGGATCAAAGGGCTGCGATCCTGCAGCACTTTGATCCCCTCCCCCTTCCTTCCGTGTATAAGACAACCCTCAATTTTTAGTCTAAAGATTTTAGATAAAAGTATTGTCTTATACATGGAAAAATACGGAAGTTATCAAAATAATGTTAATGCCTTTATAAACTTTATTTATCAGCTGATGGGTTTTGAGCAGCCCATGACGGATCAGGAAGGAGATCTTGGTGTCCTGGTGGACAGCTTGACAAAAGTGTCAACCCAATGTGCAGCAGCAGTGAAGAAGGCCAATTCCATGCTAGGTATCATTAAAAAGTAGATTGAAAATATAACAGCAAATATTATAATGCCACTGTACAAAACGCTGATAAGGCCGCACCTGGAGTATTGTGTACAGTTCTGGTTGCCACACTTCAAAAAAGACATAGTGGAGCTAGAAAAGGTGTAGAAGAGAGCGGCTAAAATGATTACTGGGCTGGGGCACTTCCCTTATGAGGCAAGGCTACAGTGTTTGGGGCTCTTTAGTCTAGACTGAAAAGGCACCTGAGGGGGTGCCTTGAGACAAAGAAAATTATGCAGGGGGTGGATAAAGTGGATAGAGGGAAGCTCTTTTCTATCTCATGCAATACCAGAACCAGGGGACATCCACTCAAATTGAGCGTTGGGAGAGTAAGAACAATAAGAACACACAAAAGAAAATATTTCTTTACCCTGCGTGTTGTTAGTCTGTGGAACACCTTGCCACAGGATGTGCTGATGGCATCTGGCCTAGATGCCTTTAAAAGGGAACTGGACAGATTTCTGGAGGAAAAGTCCATTGCAGGTTACAAGCCATGACGGGAATGTATAATCTCAAGGCTTAAAAGGAAGGTACTTCAAAATGCCAGATGCAGGGGAATGGTATCAGGAGACAGGTATCTAGTTGTCTCGTGTGCTCCCAGAGGCATCTGTTGGGGCTCCTGTGAGATACAGGAAGCTGGACTAGATGGCCCCTTGGCCTGATCAGCAGAGCTCTTCTTACGTTCTTACACTGGTCAGCCCCGAGTGCAATTCAAAGTGCTGTTGCTTACTTTTAATTCTATATAAGGCTTAGGCCTAGGTACCTACAGAAATGTCTGCTCTTCTATCAGCCTACCTATTTATTCAGATCATTTCTGCAGATCCTCCTCTAGACATACCACTCTCTGAGAGGGGGCATATTTCTTTTGTCTTTATGGGTGACAGCCCTAAATAGACTGCTTTCATTTGGGCTGCCCTATTTACAAAATTCCCTTCCCAAAGACACACATCCAATGTTGATCCTGATCATCTTTTCCTCACCCCATAAAGATGCTTTTACTTCATTTTAAAAATATTATTTCAACAGGTTATTTTATTGATACCTGCTGATGTTGACTTCTCTATTTCATCATAAATTGTCCTGAAAGTATTATGGTGGGCACTGCAGAAATTGTTTAACTAAATACATATTTATACCTATGCAAGAAAATCAGGATAGCAAGCCCTGTCGCATAATAAATATAATTGCAGGACATGACAGTGGCTGAAAAGCAGTCCAGTGCTCACAACAGTAATACCAAAATAGGTACAGATAAAAGAAAAATCTTGCAATGATTTGGGGAATGTTAGGCACTTGACATAAAATTTTAGTCCATCTCCCAAATGCACCAATTCCTGAGATCATGTATCATACAAAATGTTTTAAGCAGTTTAGTATGATGTAAATGGGCTGATGAAGTACTAATTTACTGCTGTAGTCATCTGACAATTATTTTTTTTTTAAAAAGGGGAAATTAGTAACAGTAGTATATCTAAATGCTCCACACTAGCTAGCTGTTTGTTGTTTGTTTGGGTTTTTTAAGTGGTCTAATAAATGTATCACCTGTTCTTGCATTTGTAAATGCACCATGACAGCCTTTCCACCTTAAAATAACTCTGTTATATGGGAATTTTAGGCTTCCTTGACTCACAAACACCCTTCCTTTTGTTTTCTCCAGGCGACACTGCTGTCCGAAGCAAAAGGGAGAATCAAACAGCCAGCAACACACAGATGGGAGGTTGCCCATAACCGTGACTCTTGCACCAATGACACTGCTTTGAAACTTAAACTGGCCACAGCAACTTTTGGAGGGGAGGAGAAGCTGCAGGGCAGATTTATTACTGCTTCTGCTGGGAAGTAAACACTCCACCACACGCTGTTTACAACACAGCAGGAATAGCAAAACACACCACCTAAAACCGACGAAGACCAGCGTCGTCTTGATCGTCGGCGCGTAGCAGCCTGTAAAAGCAGATCGGCCTCCAATAGGGGATTTAAAAACCTAATCAATCCAGGAGTTTATTATCAGCCAGAGCTTAATATGGAACAGGGAGCCTATTTAAAGTACAGAAGAAGTAGCTGGCGTTTGTGAATAACCGAATGTTTCGCGCTACAGGTTTAGGAAGAAAGGCTCGTAAGGCAGAGAGCACAACTTTGAGACGGCTTGAAGTCTTGGCACCTTTTCTTTGGAAATTCAGCAGAGAATAACCCTTGCTCAGAAGCAATAAAAAGGGTGCTTTGTATACTGTTTTATTTTTTCCAAACTGTCTGTGGTTTAGGCATTCATCTGTAGGCGCTGATACCTACAACTTTTAGATATACGTACACGGTTCTCATTCCTCATTCTACTCTTAATAACTGCGGTAACAAACAACTCCACAATCGTTATCTTGTTCACAACACACACTGGGGTTGAACAACAGCACGTGTCACACGGCGGCAAATATTTATCACCCCCCATGTATACAACACACAGGGAAAGGGTGACCAATCCCCCTTAAGGATTACAGCACGCCACGCACCTGAGTGGCAGACTCACACGGCCAGGGAACACAGGTTTGCCCCCCACCCCGCGTGTTAATTCGGCCACGGGCACACGTGACATGTTTTGCACGTGCCCGCACCCGATTATTTACAAGGCGTGAAGACGGCCTTCTTGGCGGAGACTCCTCGTATACGGACGCGTTCTCGCCACTAAAAAAAATAAAAAGGAGCACGCCCGGGGGGTCCCTCGCGCGTCACGGCTTTTTTTCCGCAAACAGGGAACGCCAGCGTAACGTGTGAAGCGGCGTGGTGTCCTTGTGACGGGTGCGTGCGTATGTTCGTGGTTCGTCGCCCCGTTCTCCTCCCTCTCCCACGGCTCCCGGCTCTTACCTGGGCCGGCGCGGCCCAGCGCGGCTCGACTCCCAGGACTCGTTACGCAGGAAACTCCTCTGTGGGCTCCGGGCCTCCTTCGGTCCCACAGCCCTGCCCCGTCACAGCCCTGGCTTCAGCCACAGCCCTTCCTGCCTTCGCGGACCGCCTCCCTCCCTCTCCCTCTCTCTCTGCTAACCAGACCCGCCTCCCTTCCCGCTAGAAAACCGGGGGCAGGCTCCGCGAGACGAAACTCCCCTCAGTCACACAGGCTTATTAGCGAGCTCCGGCGCTTCTTGTCGACGGTGGAGCCATTTCCTCGTCGTCGCTTTTTTCACTTTTCCTTTCGCATAGAGGCGCGCGCGCGTGTCCTCATAAGGCCTTTGGGAAGGAACGGCTTCCCCTTGAGCCCCCTCAAAAGTGCGCAAACACAACCGTAAACTCCTCAGCCATGCCCTCATGCGGGCATCACAACCTGGCTTTGCCGGTTGCTTGAGACACACACACACACACAAAACAACCCACGCCCATTGTCTCTAAGGGTCTATCGTGTGCCCCCCCCCTTCATCTTGGTCAATTTAAGGTCCCTCGTCTGCCCTTTAAGGGGTCATTTACTGAACCCCACGAAGCTCTCATAAATTTCCCGCCTAGCCCTCAAATTCCCTTACTCTCTGCAACAGCCCAAAGCCTCCTGTCCTCTTTTCCTTCTTGGCCTTCTGCTGGGAATTTCCTCCCTCGTTCAAACAGCTGAGGGCATGGCGCCCACCACCACTTTCAAAACTCAACCTTGCCATGGGCAGACAATCTCTCTGTGTCTTCAACTCTAACGTTCCTCTGAGCTGAGTCCACATCTTGCCCCTATTTATCCTGGTTTTCATCTACAGTACCACCTATCCCTTGTGTTATCTTTCATGGTACAGTGCTTAACTTCTTTGCAGTAGTTACTCTGCCAGGACACCACACACTTGAATGGTGGTGTAGCAGGTGTATTTGTCGTAATGACAAAGTGGACACAGGTACAGGTTGAAATCTGTGCAGCTTCTACCTTCACAGTTCTCTTCCTGTTTTTCATATTGCCTGTCACACATTTCCAGAGCAGGACCGGTATATAATTGCAACCAGACTAAAACGTACAGTATCATAAAACAACACAAGCAGCCATGATAACAGGAACACAAGAACAGTATAGGGAGAGAAGAGCACAGCACACCCACCTTCTCAAAGAATAGGAAAGTCTTGCCTTGCTTCTAAATTTAAACCAGGTGCCAGTTTAGAATGCTTGTCCCTGAATACGGATGTCAGGCTGGGGGGACACTTTATACACTTGAATAAACCCCAGATTTATTTCTTTTTGAAGTGTATGCTAGCGTACCACTAGGCATCTCCCCTCCATAAAATAAAATAAAAAAATCCTGCAGCCAGTTTTGTCTCCAAGTACCAAGCTTCTTGGGTTTCTTTAGCACTAAGAATAGGGGAGAATAAAAGCTCTGTCCTTGGGTTAAAACTGTATTGGGTAAAATCATAAAGTTGAATTAATGCCTCTCCATTTCTAATGTTTTCACAACAACAATACAGGAGGGATTGGGCCAAATTAAGACTGTCACTCAGTACTTTCCCTTTACGCCATTAGCCCTCGTCTCTTACACTTTACTGTGGAAAACCTCCCATTTATGCTTCCAAATATGCTGCCAGCCATATCTGTGGGACCGTAACTCAGACAAGCAGATGGCAGCAGACACATGTATTTGGCCACCTTTATCTTTTTACTCAAAGAGAGCAAACAGCTTCAGGTGTTTCATATGCAAAACAGTGTGAGGGGAAAAGATTGCACCTCACTCTATTATCAGGTATGATATGTAGAAAAACTTCTGAAATGTGTTCACAAACATCTATCATAACACAGTGGCTTTAGTTTTGATATGTATTTCCTGCTACACTACTACCAAATGCTGTTTCATTTGAGGAAAAAGGCTTGGGGACCGTTTTCTTGACATATTTTTCAATCTGCTACTCTCCAGATGTGTTGGATTAGAACCATATCGTATCCATCCAGCTCAAGCACTCTGTCAGAGGATGATGGGAGATCTAATGCGGCACCAGGTTGGAGAAGGCAGTTTCAGGGATTTTTACTTCTGTTCTTAGGAAGTAACAAAGTTAGGAATAGTAACTGTCCATATCTTCTAACCTGTAGGTGTTCCAGTCTTCAAGCACAGGGATGGGAGAGTGTACCGTACACACTCTGTGTGTGTTTGTGTTGGGATCCTCTGAATCCTTGATGCCATTAGGTCCCAAAGTCCTACCCAATAAATGAGACTGATGGGCTATATTGTCCCACTCCAAGGGTCGGGCTCCATGAATACTATGATACACACACCATACTTCTCAATTAAAATAAGGGGGGAATCAGTCTTTCCTATGCTATAATCACCTCATAGCTCCCCTCCACACACATAACTCCCTCTGCAGGAATCATATATTCCATTATTACCAAATAATCATAAAATGTAGTCGTCTCATACACACACACCAGTTTTGTAACCTGGGATCTACACATTCCAAACTGTTCTTGTTTGCCAGATGCAATGAATTTAACAAGTTATATTGGATGGTTGCTTTCAGAACACAAATTGATGAGCCAAAGAGTAATCTCTCACCCCATAAAGTGGCACGCTCACAAGTCTGTTTGCCATAGCTATCATTCCCCCTACGCTGTCCATTAATTTCTGGTTTGCAGCACTCATGTGGACTGCTAACACCATGTGGCAAGTTGTTTGTGTGGGCTGTTCATGGGATGCAGGGTGTTCATGGGATGTTAGGGTTTCAAATGGTTTTAGTATGGCTTCTGTTTTTGTGGTGCCCCCAGTTATTGTTTAATATGTTTATAATTATGGTTTTTATTGATTCTGAATTAGTAAGCTGCCCTAAATTTTTGAGGAAAGGCAGGGTAAAAATGTTCTAAATAAATTCATACTATTCAGGCTGTTTTAACCACAGGAATGCAAATTAATAGCAAGAGAAAAAGTATACTGCCAGTCTGTTTCGGAAACCACACATAAATGATTTATCAAGCAGAACTGCTGTGATAGAATGTAGTTCAGTTGTCTCAAATACAGGAACTGAGACTATGCCACCCCCTTTTATTAAGCCAGAAAATTTTCATCTTGTTCAGTACTTATGGTATTGGTCATGTGTAGGTTCTCTGAATCATCCCACCCTAGTTCAGTGTGCATTTTATTGCCACACCATCAGTCCATTCCACATTCTTGTTCTCCCCACCCAAGTACTTCTATACTCACATATATATTTGTGAGACACTAAATGTCAATAATGGGGGGAGGGAGGAACAAATATCTCTATTTTTATTTACCAAACCTCCCTGAAATAGACAAGATATATAGGAGCTGCTGAAGGAGTAATTATAATGTTGTAGAAAGATGCTAACATCAGCTCCAGAATGCATATACACAAAAATACTGTAAAGGCCAGCTCTTCCTTTAAAAATCCCTTTAGTGTTTATCAAATACCTTCTTTTTAGATTTCGCAGTGCCCTTTCTAGTACCTCTGCTTTCTGCTCTCATCCCATGTAAACTGTGCTGTTACATCCACATGAATTTGTAGTTCTTACAGGTACCAGTATTAACATGGTGACTAAACCACAAGTTTCAGGATTAGTACGGGGAGGTGAGCCATGTCTGACGAGAACCTAAATGAAGGAAGCTTTCAGCTTGATCTCATGCTGAGTTGATCTTTTTTATTACTATTATCATGATTTATTTATATACTGCTTTTCAGTCTAAAGCATTGAATGACATATTAAATAGAACAAAATATGGTCTATAAAACAATGTATTCGCGAAGGCTTTCACGGCCAAGATCTAATGGTTGTTGTGGGTTTTTCGGGCTCTTTGGCTCTTTGTTCTTCCTAACGTTTCACCAGCACTTCAGAGGATAGCACTCATAGTCTATACAGTATAAGACTTAACACAAAACATTTAATTGATGACTAGGTCAGTCATCAGTCAAAGAAACATAAGATAGCAACATTCCAGCATGAGTGACCTTACGCAAATGTAACAAATCTTATGGAATAAGTGAAATTTATTTGGGACACACTTTTGTGAATTGCAGTCTATTTCCTCGAATGCAACCAATTAAGATGATTACCTCTTCCCTAAAAGCTAGCTTGTAAAGAATCAGTCATTTGCATTTGAAGAATGAACAGCATTGTCCATAGCAATAATTTCAGTAGAACAATCACTGCCTTCCTTTTCTCCTCTTTGCATGTGAATGCAAAGATCAAACCACTACACACCTTTTGCAACCTTCTGACTTTATTTAGTTCAGTCCAGCCTGATCCAATTTGGCTGCTTATCCAGGCCCTCTGATGGTATCTCCTATGTTCTCTCACCATTGTCTGGGCCAATGGCAATTCTATTTGCATATGTGTTTCCCACTCTGGGTTAAAACAAGATAACAATCACTTAAGGATCTGCGCCTCACCTATCTAGCCAGGTTGCTCAGAAAGGCAGTAATCTGTAGATAAGGTCCTCCTTGTACTTGATGGCTCTTGAGGACTGTATCTTAGCAACCAGAGGTAGAGACACTGAAAGTTTCGTGACCATTTCTTTCAAGGGCTTTCATTGGTCAATCAGATCAGGCAGATTATGGTACATAAACAGCATGTGAAAGAGAGGAAAGCATTTGCATTCTAGAGATCCTCCCTTTATGATAGTGAGATGCCTAAAGGAATGGATGGGTCATTGCTGACTCCAGTAGGAGCCATCCTATACACACAGCGGCTGAAGAAACTGAGAGAAGATATATTTTGCATGGGCTCATCATATAAGCATGTCAGTGCTCCTTACCACAGGCACTGGGGAGGAGGCAGTTCTCACCCTGCCTTGAGGAAATCCAAATGGAGCATAAACCCTGCAGCGCCCCCCCCCCGCAAATCTACAACCTTGCTCTCACAGTTTTATGTTGACTTAGAGTTTTCTTTAGCCTTGAGCTTTTCACAGACTTGAGGTCTTCTAAAACGTTTCACTCCAAGTATCAATAAGAGCCCAGTTTATTGCTGTTTTTATTTGACTTCTACCTACCTGTTAATATTACTGGATTTAGTAGCTGCTGAGATAACTTTATTTATTTAAAGTGCAGATCAGAGGTCCAGCCAGTCTAGGAGATAAAAGTGTTTTGGAATGGTAAGTTCTCATTCGGATTTAATATTTGATCTGCCAGTGTTTTGTTCCATCTGTTCCCTCTGTTCCCTCTGTTCTTTAAAAATAAATACAAGAGAAAGGAAACCCACACTCTTTGTTGTTGTTGTTGCTGCTGTGGGAAAAACAAATTTAATA